AACGGTGACTGATCGATGGAGTCCACTTCAAAATCCAGTGATGACACTTCTACACGTGAAGAAAGTAGTGAAGTTAGAGATTCTGATGAGACAGGCAGATATCTCAGACTGCTCAGGAGCTTCAGTGAGTACGTAGTTTCAAGGCCAAGTTTAAACAACCCGATCCGTCACACCTGGCTAGAAAATGAAAGATACAGTCTAACCCACCTGTTGGATTGAAGAGGTCTAAAGGTAGGACAGCAAATGATCCTAAAAAGGTCTGAGCAGCAGATCGCGTGAAACAATTTCCTAATGAGCATTTTACTGTGTCCTCTGGAAAGTTGTTTTGCCTAGCCTGCAGGGAGGAATTGTCCACTAAAAAGAGCATACTAGAATTGCATATTAAGGCGGCCAAACATGTAAAAGGAAAAGAAGCACTTACCTCTAAGCAAACGAGCGAGTTATCTATTGTGGAAGCGCTAAAGAGATATGACAAGTCAGCTCATCCTGTCGGAGAAACTCCACCAGACTCGACTCGAGTCTATCGGGTCAAAGTTGTGAGTGAATTTCTCAAAGCTGGCATTCCGTTGAGTAAAATTGACAATCTTCGTGGGCTGTTGGAAGCCGGTGGATTCTCATTGTCTCATAGCACCCATCTTCGTCAGCTAATACCATTAATTTTGGATAAAGAGCTGGATAATCTTAGGAATTCAATATCTGGAAAGCCTGTTTCAATCATATTTGACGGCACCACACACGTTGCTGAAGCATTTGTGGTTTTGGTTTGGTTTGTTGATACTGAATGGGTCGTATGTCAAAAGGTTGCACAGTTACTCCTCTTGTCAAAAAGCCTTAGTGGAGAAGAAGTAGCCAGGCTACTAGTCGACGTGTTTTCCACAAAACTAGGAGTTCTCACAACGAATGTCGTGGCAGCTATGCGAGATAGGGCATCAGTGAACTCTGTAGCAATGCGTACAGTTTTTGTGCTCTACAATCGAATTTTTTTATGTTGGTTGCCTATCTCATACCCTGGACCACGTAGGGGAAAAGTTAGACACTCCACTTGTGGATGAGTTCTTCAAGAGTTGGATTGGGATGTTCAGTCGAAGTCCGAAAACAAGGTTAGCCTGGACCTCATTGACAGGACTACCTTCCCCATCTTTCTCGACCACAAGATGGTGGAGTAGGTTTGGGGTACTTGATCAAGCATTCAAAGCATTTGCAGACGTTTCCTCATTCGTGAATCAACCTGACATGCCTCCAACCATGCCTCCAGCCACAAGCACGAAGATACGTGAGATTATAAATGATCGTGCGAAGGCTAGCACATTGGGGTAATTATGAGTAGCAGTAACAGAATGCAGTGTGCTAATCTCCCGATCTGCATTTCTGTCATGCTACAATACAACAACAAAGATTGATCCGTATTGATGTACTTTTTAAATTAAAATTTGTCCTTTTTACTTTTTATCATGGGTAAAATATATGGGAATAATGGGTATAGCGCATGAGAATAATGGGCTAATTTTTTGAGAATAGTAAAAAAGAATAATGGGCAAAAAAAAAGGAATAATTGTCAAGCCCTACTCCAGACTCCCTCAACAACCACACATCTGAAACTACTTCACACCTCAAACTTGCTAACTGTAGTGCGCGTGGAGGTGAAATTTGACATCGTTTACATGACAACCACAACTACAAATAGCCTCAGGCAATTTTCTTTAAAACTACTTCTTCACTCCTCGAACTTGCTAACGGCTGCACACATGGGGATGAAACTTAGTACACATGCATTTTATATCATTTCCATGACGACAAAGGCATTTTCCTCTATTTATAGGGGGCTTGCCCCCTTTCACAGAGATAATACATAGTAGTATATAAAAATGAGTGGAGACAAGTAAATTAAAAATCCTTCCAATTTTAAAACAGAGGCATATATAGGGATGGTATAAAAAGAAAGGGAGACAAGATAGGGATGGGATACATGAAGCGTAGTTAATGAATATATTTGAGCAGGCTGACACCCCCAACCCAATCACACAATCCCTATATTACTTGTTTATATTATAACCTGCTCATGAAACCACCACCGTGTTCAAAGGTGCTAAAAGTTGGAAACTTTTCTTCAAAATATAATAGGGATGTAGGGATAGATAGAAACAAAGGGGTCATTACACAGTAAAGCACATGACCACATCCCTACATTTTTGTCCTTCAAAATATTGAGAGACAAAGATGTAGGAATGGTGTCATGTAGTGTTGTGTATCTTTGACCCCATTATTGGTGTTTGTAATGTTTCTTACCGTCCCTATATGATTTTTCCACTTGTTTCCACTATTTTTTAATGATCATAATATTTTTGGTTGTATATGGTCGTGAGTTGCCATAAATAGGCTAGGGCAAACGTCATTTTGTGGGGAATGCCAAAAAGCTGATCAACGCTGGGAATACGGGCAAAGCTAGGACTAGTCGGTTTTTCTAGGAGTAGGAGGGCGATCACGTCAGGTTAGTGTTACTGCCAAAGGATAGTAAGGGCCTTAGTAAGATCGTTGTGTCGCAAATTTGAGCCTGTCTTCGGCATGTTAGATGAAACCAGCAGCGCTATAGAGGCTGTATACATTGGCGTCCGTGTGTTAATAGGCTTTCTCTGCTAGCTGATAGTGAGGATGAGTGCAGCTGGTGTACCTGAAGTCAGTGAAGTGAATCTTTCAGTTTTTTGTCAGAATGTTAGTGGCCAAGCAACAGGAAGAGAAGGCTAAGAGTCGGGACGGGACATGGAATTTTTCTGGCCTTTGTAGTAAGCGTAAACAGAGAGAGGTAGGGGAGCTTTTGAGAAGGCTCAATATTGATGTAGTAGCTTGACAGGAATCTTGGGAGAGGGAGGAAAGACATTGCTATTGATGGCTAAAATGAGTCTTGTGAGAATCGGAGTAGTCGTAGAGGGGAAGGAGGGGTTTGGTTCTTTGTTCGGGAATGCTTGGTGAATGAGGTAGAGTTTATGAGTAACGTCAGGTATGAGGAGTGTGTGGATGAAGGTTCGAGGTGGGAGAGGAAGGGAAGTATTGTATGTGTGTTGCATTTACATGCCTATGGATAGCGCTTGTGCTTCTGTTATTGAGGGTAGTTACATCAAGTTGAAGAAGGATGTGCTAGGATTCATGCAGGAGGGGAGGGTAGTTCTTCTTGGTGATTTTAATGCAAGGGTGAGCAGATCTACTGATGTCCATGATGTCATTGGGATGTTTGGGGAGGAGACTTGTAATTCCAGTGGAAATAGGCTGATTTCGTTCTTGAATGAGGTGAACCTGGTTATATGTAAATTAGGGTAGGAAGTTAGTGTCGGAGCCTGAGTGGACTAGTGTCAAGCTTGCGGTAGAAAGCAGTAATCTTAAAAGTTAGACAGTATGGAATGGTAATGTCTTCTATCTTGTCCCTATCACACCCAAATTTGGCTGCCTCGAGTATCAACGATTTCGCTTTTTTTGGGCACAAGAAAGGAAAATGAGACGAGTCAACTATACATAATGCTTTAACTATAGTTGGAGAATGGAATGGTTGTGTCTTCTATCTCTCTGTTCTTATCCCTATCACACCCAAATGTGGCTGCCGTGAGGGTTTCAAGCATTTCGCATTTTTTGTAAGCACATGAAAGGAAAATGAAACAAACCAACTATCCTTAATAGTTTCACTAAAATCGCAGTACGGAATGGTAATGTCTTCTATCTTGCTGCACGTATACCTATCACGCCAAAATTTGGCTGTCAAAGTGTGTCAACGATTTCGAATTTTTGTTGGCACATGACCAGACAAAAGAGACAACCCAACTATACTTAAATGATGTGACTAAAGTTGAAGTATGGAATGGAAATGTCTTCTATCTCGCTGCAACAATGCCTATCTCTCCCAAATTTTGCTGTCCCCCAAATGATGGTGTCAACAATTTCACATTTTTTGTACGCACATGAAAGGAAAATGAACTAAACCAACTTAATTGGTTAATTCTTTGACTTAAGTTGGAGTATGGAATAGTAATGTCTTCTATCATGCTTCACCTATCCCCATCCAAATTTTGCTCTCCCAAGGGTGTCAACGATTTCGCATTTTTGGTGGGCACATGAGCCGAAAAATTAGACAGCCCAACTTTCCTTAATGCTTTTACTAAAGTTGGAGTATGGAATGGTAATGTCATTTATCTCGCTGCACCAATGCCTATCCCACCCAAATTTTGCTGTCCCCAAAATGATGGATGTCGCAATTTTTTTTGCCACATTAACTGAAAAGAGATAAGTCAACTATCCTTAATGCTTTTACTAAAGTTGAAGTATGGAATGGTTAATGTCTTTTATCTCGCTGCACCAATGCCTCTCCGACCCAAATTTTGCTCTCCTCTTAATGATGATGTAAACGGTTTCGCAATTTTTGTACGCAAATAAACGTAAAATGTGACGTGCCAACTATCCTTTATGCTTTAGATATGGAATGGTATTGTCTTCTATCTCGCTGTACTTATCCCTATCATGCCCAAGTTTGGCTGTCTCCGATGGCGTCCGCCGGCAGCGGAGGTCCGACGGCCAACCCGGCATGGCCCTCATATGTCACTACCGTGACCGACAAAGCCTTGTCCTTGGAGGACCTTGCGCACGTGCCTGGCTTAGGCTCCGTCCCGCCAAAGCTCGTAAAGAAAATCGCTCCATTTGAGGGTGTGTATTTGGGGGGGTGGGAGATTCGAACCCCCTCCCACTCCTTTAGCAGGGGTGGAGCCTAATGAGGCGGCTCCACCTACAAGGGGGAAATACCTCTGACACGCCCACCTGCCCGATGAGACCCAGTCCTTTGGCGAACAGCCCCACTGGGCTCCGCCCATTCTAAGGGGGAAACATGTACGTGACCTGGGGTGGGACTGGGGGGCTATTCTACAAGCTTAGGTGAGCTAACAAAATCTAAGCTAAACAAGGAGGAGGGCACCTAAAATTGAAAAGACTCAAAACACGTCTTTCTCAACGCTGTATATACTTACGATAAGGCACAACTTGCAGCCCGATCCTCGCAAGAGCCTTCGGCAGCAGATCTGCTATGAAAGAGGCACGAGCATTAGAGACGTAAGAACTAACACAGAATCGTTTGTAGATTGATAGGTTTTGAAAATATGTTACCCAAAATTACTACACTTAAAGATACAGTTCTAGGCTTGCTCCACTTGCCAAAAATTCCGTGCAATTTCTTTCTAGTAAAATGTCACGTTTCTTCCATGTAAGATACAACTCCCATCAAACGTTGGATTATGTATGTGCTCGAAATGCTTCTGCACGCACATATACGTACCATTGGGTGGAATCAATGCCTACCTAGAACTGTGGCATTGGTACCAACCCTTTGGCATCCAGTTGGCGAGCGAGAGCAGGTTTAGTCTTTAAATCGGGCAGCTTTTTCTACAGCAGTGCTGTAACATAGAGTAATGTTTTACTGTAGTGAAAAAAATTGTTCACACAAACGTTCTGCATTCTCGTTGTTAGTGTCTGAGTTTGCTCACAAAGGATAATGATGGTACAGTATATACAACATACTGAGAATATAAGGCACACCACTCTGCTTTCAGTGCTCATCACTTTAGCATCACGTGTCTGTCCACTCAGCATTACATTCATTTACTCAAGCGCAGGCTGTTCAAAGATTTGAGGTGAAGTCGGGGGCTCACTTTCGCTTGCAAACAATTCACCTTCTAGTAGCTAATTGTACTGGGGACAAATGCACACAGACATCACTGATGCTACAATAAACTTATCCACACTGGTGTTCATCATAGCTTTGTTATACATAATAAATTTACTCTGAATACCTCATCCACAGTATCCAAAGAGCCTTCCACATTTGGATTTCCTCTACGTGCCAATCGTGGTGCTAAGATATTAGAGAGTGCTATCGTTCTGGTGGGTGGTGGTCCCCCACAAGGCTGGCCACGAATCACAACTGTATCTCCCGACAAAACCTGTTAAATTTGATCAAATACAACTACTTACAAATGCAGAGGTACCAACAAAATAAATGCATTGTCCCCACGTAATGGTTATGAACGTTGTAGAAATCTTAGCAAAGGTTCAGGGTCCACATCCTACATGCTAAAATAAACACAGCCGTTATAAACCCTCGGTGCACATGCACAGTGAGGTGTATGGTAGTTGGTTTGCAAGTTATTGTGTCTGTCTGTCGTCTGTCTGTTACCACGTTACGGCCACCATACACAACAGGTCGGCAAAAAGGATTGAGCGCTAATTGCTAATTTGGTAACTGTGTTCAAAATATATTGCGTGGAAACCAAGTGACATGCGCATATGAGTCAACCGCATTCAGATGTTTGCGTACCGTGGAGGCATTAGAAGATACAACAGAAAGTAGTCTAGCTAATACGTGTGAAACATTAAACAGCAGTAACACCACACCCAGAGCATGCAAACGAAATTTAACGAACATGGTAACTTTAAAAATACCGCCAGCACTGGTAGGAATGCACATTCAAAAGTGCAAATAATTGACAGCTGGGCCACAGCATGCAGTCACTGGCTATGTTGGTTTCTAAATCTAAAACTTACTAGCAGCATCAGTGAAAAGCGTTTAAGCAATACTGACCAGGCTACTCTCCTTAGGGTAACTTCGTGCTTCCACAGTCACTAGCTACGTCAGTTTCACATTAGTGACAAGCATTTGGGTGGGATATTAATCCTCCTAGTAACTATTGAATGGGAACACATTCTTCGAATAAGCCATTTATAATAAGCATGGCTTTTATGCTTGTCAACACATGACACTTTATCTCTTAAACACAGTCATGTCAGGAAAATTGCCCTCATAGTCAGTAGACAAGGACTTTCTGTGGATTGACTTTCGCAACTTTGAAATAGGCGAATAATACTAACATTAAATGGTGCCACAGAAAATAGACAAGGATCATATTTTACGCGACTTGCACAAAGTTGGCGGGGGGCATTAGAACAATCGTAGACGAGCATGAAGGCTAATATTGTTACTTGCTCAAAAGGCAGGGTTTTACATCTACAAATGCATCTGCAAAGTACATTGAGGTTGTTATAGCTAGCTAGTTATGTAGCTACAGTGTAATCGTTTTTAGCTTGATCTCATTAACGCTAATGACGTGATAGAAATCCCAGTTTTGGTTTCAATTTAACACTCACAAGTATACGCGTAGCTGTGGCTAAACTAGGTGCTATAGCTACATTCTCTGTCCACACCAGTATCATCTCACGATCTGAGAAATACGGCACTACACCTCATTACTTACGCACATTTCCGTGAAAGTGGCTGGACTTGCGGTAGCGTTATCAGCACAAGAGATAGTTTGAGATAGAGACATTCATGAGACACCAAAGAAAAGCGGCAGTTCTGCTTGCAGCACTACTCCTTTCTCCCCTATTTGTCCGTTCTTCTCAGAACAGAAGACTACCAGCAAAACTTAGCTCTTCAGCAGCACGGACAATCTCATGTAGCCTAAAGCAGAGGCATTATGTTGACTTTTCTTGTCTCCTACGTTTATTTTACACTTTACATTCTTTCTTCTCTGCTTTATTGCTCTACTGGACCTATTGTTGGGACTCTTGTTCATGGCATGCACCCAAAGTGCTCTTCACATCTGAAAATGCAACCAGAATTAGCAACATAGGTAATGGTCATGGTATTGCCGAGACAAATCTCACGTTGGTCACCGCTTTCCTTTGCGTAAGCACATGCATGTGTACACAAGGGCAAGCGGGCTTCCGGTTTCTAGCAAAGCCTACACATAGCCTTTGGAGAAATGCCATGTTTTAACATAACTTTGTCAATCTCAGTGACAGCATCACTGCTAACTCACGTTTACGCCCACCGACAGATATCACTCTATACCAACCAACTGACTCAGCAATGAAAAATTCCTAAACCACATCAAGAAATGTCTAATCATTCATACTACTTGGTAAGCTTGCATGCATTCACTAGTGAACGTTTTATTGCTGCAAAACCTTTTTGATAGACGATTATATCAACAGATGTTGCACATATGACAAGACAAGGGAATACCCTTATCTGTTCATTGCTGTAGTCAATGACACATTAATGGAGTGGATGGTTACTAGTCGACTCACAAAAGATAACGAAAACAGCAGTGGATACTATCTGGCATTTAAGAAACCTTGTGAAAAATGCCACAGTAATAATCTTTGTGGTTTGATTGTAGACTGGACCAATGCTCAGAAAAGGGGCTGAAACTCGCCATTGGATAAGAGAAACCTGAGATGTTATTATTCTCGGCACGCGCGCGCATGCGCAGCGAGGGTACGGTAGTTGGGTTTGTGTGTCTGTCTGTGTGTCTGTTACTCTACATCTCACTTTTCGAGTGTTTGCTCGTCTCACAAAGGATATGACCTACTTAACGGGCAATGAAGGTCAGAAATTTCGAATGGTTTTCTCTGAAACCGCTCCATTGCAGAGCTAGAGCGCGAAAAAGCCAATATGCAAATACACAACGGACGGGATGGCTTACCACGGTCCGATCGATCCGCGTGCTCTGCGTAACTCGGAGGCACCAGAAGATGCAACGCAGGGCGTGTATCGCCCCTCGCATGCTATCTAGTAGTGTAGTTAGCCCGTGTCAGACTCCGCACGAGCTGGCAAGAGACCACAAGTAACAGCTAAAACTAAACCCAGCTCATCAATTAGTGGTACGGCGCATGCCTTTACTTACGCATGCGCGTCACAATGCGCCGAGGGTTTGTACTTCAGTGCTTTTCATTGAATTAGTCTTTGTCTACTCCCTGTCCTGCGCCGTGTAGAGTGAGTTAGCCCCTTCCTATTACCAACTTGCGTAAACATAAAGTCCTATCTTGTCTCGTGGCAGTTTTGTATGCCAGTGTTCTAGCTAGGAAAAAATCACAGAGTGGCACTATCTGTAAGCTAGGGGGGTCTTGGAAAATTTAGCATTTAGACTCTCAGAGATTGAATGTGGGTGAATTTGAGGCAAATGTAGTAAATTAAGCTTTGTCCACAGTGGTTCAGTTGTGAAAACAGCCTATAAGCTATGAATATTCCACTCTTCTGTGCTTTGACGAAAACCCTTGCATCGCGCCCTCCGCAGGTTGCGTAAAAGCATTCCATGAGAGACTTTGGGTCACACTGGCGTAAAATTGTGCTACTAGTGACTCTGGGCTCTGGTCGCATACAATAGTGCTATGAGTAACTCTGCAACAACACACATGGAACATTACAGAAATGGTGGAAATACACAGGCCAGTAAGGAACGTCAGCCGATTCCAGGACAATACCAGTGCAGGACACAGAGACTGCAGGATAGTCAAAGATTACTGGCAGTACTACTTAGAGGGCATGGGAAAGACAAGTTTTTGTCCGGGAAATGCAGTTCAATGCATAGAGGAAACGAACTTAGGTTACAATGCCTAGATTAACATCGCAACAAGTCTGTTCCCTCTGGGACTGTGAATTTCTTTAATTCTACTTCAACCGAATAGGTACACCTATTTTTTTTCAAAAAATATAATATTTCCTCAAAAAGTGGAGCTGCTCAGTGCCCAATTGCCACAAGTCAGTTGGGCTATGAGATGGAACATTCTTCGATAGGTCAAAACTGACACTTAGGTAGTGGATTCTCCTAATGTACTGCAGTGATAGACGCAGCCCAGGAGCCAGAAGTGCAAGAGAAGAGCGCAGTGCAAGAAAATGAAGGGGGTCCACACAGACATGGTACGTCCTGTATGGACGAATTCATGTGGCGTGAGAGACGGAGCGAGTGCGACGGTTGTGTCCGGCGAACCTCGGCCGAGACATCAGCCTATGCTACCCCGAGTCAGTTGAGATGGTCTGTGGCATCCCCACAGTTCCAGCAGCTTCTGTCTTTTTCTTTTCTTCTAGCCAGCTTTTCTCAAAGCTACCACTGACCCAAAACAGATACCTTAGTGTGACAATTTCTTACAAGTACTGCGGTTTTGCTGACCCACACATTTAGCAGGTATTAATAAATGCAGCGACAGTGCACTGCTAGTTAAGATGACATGACATGCTGAAATGATCTTTAGGTGGAAGAGCTCGTAGAGCCATCAAAGAGTCCAAGGATTGCAGATTTCTTCATTTTTTCATAATGACTCGGCACCCTTGGTGTAGACGTATACAAATTGTACAGAGTTACTAGCCATGAGGGGGTAAATGTTTTAGCACAGAGAGACGGAAATCAGCTTCTACATCTTAAAGGTCAGTCCCAGAGTCAAGCTTCTGTTTCACTGCATTTGAACAAATTCCTTTTTCAACCTTTGCTTTGCACACTACTAAGATCCAGGGGCTGAAAAAAGTGGGTCATGTTGGCAGGAACATAAACACACTCTGTGTTCATTGCCGCCAGCTCTCCTCACTCTCCATCAACTTTCCTCAGAACGCATCCCAAATCAGCAGTGCTTTTTGGTCGGCAGGGAGCTTCAATTCAGCACTTTTGTACCTTAATATGGGGCAATTACTTCTTATAAGACCATAAAGGTTTCCGTTTCATTCAACCAATTAAAGATTTCTGTTTCATTCGTGGATTATGTTCATTCGTGGATTATGATACAAAACCTTGGTGGGAATTTCAAATCACGAGCCTGGCTAGCATTAGTTTCCCCAGTCCAGACTTTGCGTGGGTAGAGAAGGCTGAATACTGTTTTCACCACAGTCTAGATAAGGCTGAGTCCCACTTGATTGCTAAAATCCGAACTGAAAGAGAGGCATCGGTCGTCTTCGCGGCAGGCACCTAACACGTGATGATGCACCACTGGTTTTCCCACGTGAACACGTGATGTTGTGTATGTGCACTACGGTTTTGCCATGTATGCAGGGTATGTCCGTGATTCAGTGCAGCTTTTTTGTGGTCTCTGAGGCTACGACCAGTATCGTAGCGTTTGGACGCCGACCTTACAGTAGGGTTAAAAAAAAGTTTCCAATTTTAGTTCCGTTCCG